CTAGGGGTCTCAGTAAGTCAGGCATGTTCAGGGTACAGAAAAAAAGTTTGAGTGAAACCCTTCAAATCCCACTCTGATTTGAAGCACTTCAGATTTGGAGCACATCAGCATCATATAGCTGTTTAGCCTCCTCCTTGCTGAGGCACATCAACATGTATCTAAAGCCAGCACCTATAAGTAAAGCACCTATCTAGTGGATTGGAGAGCAGAGGCCCAGCATATCTCTTGGGTCTGAATCTCTAGAAGCTCCTGAGAACTGCCAACTGGAAAGGAAAGAGTCCGCTGGCTGCTTAACCCTTCCCCCAATCTTGTGCTATGTGCCTCCTGTGTGCCTTTTCCATTTCTCTGTCTGTTACAAAAGTGGCCCTGTCTCCCTGGGGATCTGGGCATACATGCCTATTGTCTCATCGCCTTGCAATCCATAGGTGAACAGTCTTGGCAGCAGCTGTCTTTCTTCTCCTGTGTAAAGTAGAGAGTCATGACCTAGGTTGGTCCTGTATCCACCTCTAGCTCATCTGTCACCTAGTGAGCGACAAGATAGCAGCAACACTGTTTCATTTAGTTATACTAGTTTCTCTGCATCCAGGAACACAGGGCATGTTGGAGGACACCTTTCCCTGGGACCACCTACAGGCCGTGTATAACTGCTTCAAGGTCAGGGTCTAATGGAAGTGCATAGTCCTGGAGACCTGAGATAATGAGCAGTAGTGTTAAAACCTGAGGCAGTAGTGTGACTAAGATGGGGCAACAATGGCAGCAGCCCTTAGCACTGAGCTGGGGGTGGGGGTGTATGTGTGGCAGACAAATAGCAACTGCTGCCACAGCCATACATCTATGCTAACAGCACCAGGAAGCAAATGTCAATTTTGCCATATGTTGCTGCAGCCCTGGGCACCCAGCTGCCCTGGTATGCTCCTGACTTTAGGATGAGTTGTACCATCTTCATGGACATCTGCACTGAAATTGGCTTTGTCACTTGAATAGCAAATCACCAGCTTGAGGTCACTGCTGACAATGAAGAAACTATCTGGAAGGTCATCCCCACTAGCCTTCAGTCCATGGCCAACTGCTTTGGCATGGGTGAGTGTAAATGGCTATGGAATACCTAATACTCAAAACTTTCTGGGTTCACTATACCAGCAGCACCTAATATGGCATCAGATTTTCTTCAGTGAATAATAAAAAAAAAAAATCCCAAATTTATCTTTTGTTTATACTATTAAACACAAAACCAAATGAATAACAAAAACAAATATAAACCTTACAAACAAAAATATTAAAAATCAAAATATATGCATAGATTCATAGATTATAGAGTCGGAAGGGACCCAATGGATCATCGTGTCCGACCCCCTGCCCCTGGAAGGAAAGAGGACCGAGGTCAGACGACCCCTGCCAGGTGATTGTTAAGCCTCCTCTTGAAGACCTCCAAGTTAAGTGATAGGACCACCTCCCTTGGGAGCCCATTCCAAACTCTGGCCACCCTTATTGTAAAAAAAATCTTCTTAATGTCTAACCTAAATCTACTCTCCACTAGTTTGCATCCATTATTCCTAGTTCCTCTCTGTGGTACTCTGGAAAACAGCGCATCCCCAATTCCCTGCTGTCCTCCCCTGAAAAATGTATAGGCAGCCACAAGGTCACTCCTCAGCCATCTTTTGTATAGGTTGAAGAGATCCAGATCTCTCAACCTCTCTTCATAGGGTCTTTCACGGAGACCACTAATTATGTGGGTGGCCCTCCTCTGAACCGTTTCCAGATCCTCTGTGTCCCTCTTGAAGTGTGGCGTCCAAAAACTGGACACTGTACCCCAACTGCATCCTAACTAGTGCTGCATAGAGGGGGAGCATCACTTCCCTCGATCTGTTGGTCATGCATCTGCTAATACATGACACAGTGCGATTGGCTTTGTTGCTGGCCTCATTGCACTGCCAGCTTATGCTCATCTTGGAGTCAACTATGACGCAAGATCTCTTTCAGCCTCTGAGCTGCTGAGGAGGTCATCCCCCATTTTGTAGGTGTGCTGGGGATTCCTCCTTCCTAGGTGGAGTACCTTACATTTATCTTTGTTGAATTGCATCCTATTACGTTCCACCCATTTATCTAACCTCTCCAGGTTGGCCTGTATCTGCTCCCTGCCCCCTGATGTATTAACTTTGCCCCATAATTTGGTATCATCTGCAAACTTGGAGAGGGTGCTCAACACACCTTCATCCAAGTCACTGATGAAGACAACAGGTGCCAGAGCTAACACTCTTCAACAGCAGGAGCCAGAGCTAACACAGCCCTGATTAGTCAATGCTCCTACAATGGGACAGTCTGTTTCAGTCCACCAGACCCTGTTCCTTTTCACAGAGAAATCCCTCTGAACACTCCCCTCAAAACCCCTCAGCTGCTTAGCCAGCATTTAGCTACCGAGCATGCTCAAAAGGGTTTAACTGCCCTTCCTAACATGGATGCATTTTGAAAAGTTTCCTTCTCAGTACAAGGAGGTTACAGAAGTCCGTGGCTGGATCAACCATTCAGGATGTGTGCTGTACCATCCAGAGATTGCCAACTTTTATTTCCTTTGCCTCATCATTCCATAGGGATTGATGGATTTACCTTCAGGTCTTTCTGAACTGTATTAAGGTCATCAAGGGCACTCCTGCAACCACCCTGTAGCCTGACCACCACAGCTTATAGTGAATCAAATCCAAAGGCCATCATATTGGAAGGTTTCATGGACCAAAGGCATGGTTCAACCATGCAGTCACTGTGTTGTCAGCAAAATCCACAGTGCCAAGAGTTTAGAAACTTAAGCCTGGACTTCCTCCAGATTCTGGGGGAGCTGGCCATGGTGCTATCTTCCAGCATCACAGTGGAAGAAGTAGCCACCCCCCCGCCCCATACTCATGTACCCAGTTCACACAGTTCCTGAAACCATATACTGGACACTTAAATGCCAAGAAGTAGCTATTTAACTATTGGTTAAGGAGCTGCTCTGCAGCACCCCAACATCTCCCCCAAAGCACCTCTCAATACTGAATATTGATGCAGGGACCAATGTCTTGTATGACCACAGGAAATGAATTTCTTCCATCAGAGTCAAGTTTAAGTTAAGCCATCTATAGTAATTAATGTATTGTTTAAAGGTTATCACTTAGATGATTAATTACTAGAGTTCAAAAGGAGAGCCATCTTTTTGGGGGGCGGGGTAGCGGGAAGATACTTCACAAGTTGCTACATGTTCACTGTATATTGATTGGATTATAAACTCTTGAGCCAAAGTCCCTCATTTTGGTCTGTGATTTCAAAGCACCAAGTGTAAGGGTTAGTTATCTCATGACTGGGATTTCTTGTAACTACAAAAATATCATCATTATCTTCATTTTCATTGACAATTGTAGAATTTAGAAAGATTACACAAATGCTAACCCTGGCAATAAAAAATAATGAATCAAAATCTCAGCCAGATAGTCCTTGAAAACAAAAATATTCCCCATGGACTAATTTGATTTTCTTTCTAATGGCAATGGCATAAAGGAAAAGATATGTCATATTGGTATTTATCCAACATGGAGAAACAGAGATGCAAGTCACAAAATTGTCCTTATTGACAATAGGTCGATACATGTGTCATAAAGCTTGTCTTAATATGAACAATCTTACTTATGTGCATTATGAACTTGGAAATAAAGTAAGGAGAAGGGACAACCAACTTCTGCCTTTATTTTTTTTTAATTAAGGAGACAAAGATTTCTCCTGGGAAGGATATAAATATAAAAATGTACCTAAGCTTCCTAGGCCATATCTCAGCGACTAGATAGCAGGCTCCAAGTGAGAACATAATATTTCTTTGTGCTTTTGGTGTTAGGCAGATGTCTTTATGAAGAGACATCAGGGTCTGAAGCAAACTGCAGAAAGAAATGGAAACCTGATAAATTAGACTCCATTTGAGGTAAACATTTTCTTTAATGCTTCTATTTCTATGTATTTATTATTATACATGATTATAATTCATCTTTATTCCTGAGCATCTAGGCTTAACAAGGTTAGTTTTGTTATTTCATGGATAAGAAAAATGAGGCAAAGAACAATGTCTTGCCAAAGTCAATAGATGGATAGATAGATAGGTAAGTAAAAATGAAATATAGTGTATGAAAGAGAGAGTCTAGAAACTAATAAAAGATAGTCAGTCCCATGCACTTTAGCTTTGCAAACCAAAAGAGCACCAGAGACTTTAGTGAAGAATTTGCACTGTTGCACATTAATTCCATATATCAAGTTGCATCAAAGAAGTTTAGGTTAGATATTACTGGGGGTGGGGGGACTCTCTCACTACGAAGGTAGTGGAGCACTGGAATAGGTTATCCAGAGAGCCAGAGAGGTGGTGGAATCTCCTTCCTTGGAGGTTTTTAAGACCCAGCTAGACAAAGCCCTGGTCGAGATGATCTAGCTGGGGATAGCCCTGCTTTGAGCCAGGGTTTGAACTAGATGTGACTTCCAGAAGTCCCTTCCAACCGTAATTTTCTATGATTCTATGACTCAGTTCCAGAAAGTATTCTTTGATACTTATGTAAAGTATTACTACTACTTTTTTTTCATTATAGCTGCAGGTTTTTTGTTCCCCTTACCATTCTACAATTCCAAGTATTTACTGACTGCTAGATCTAGCTGGAGATCTAGCCAAAGAGATTATTAGGAAAATATGATCTCAAAAAGTCTTTTGATAATATCTGAATGTGTCTGCATGGTTTTAAAGTAATTAATAACAAGAATGGTAAATCAAGTCAGTAATAACTCATGTGGTTTTTATTTGATGCAAATACATATTTGGGGGAGCAAAAACATTCATAGGAATCAGAAAGCTCACTATACACTGTTTCTAGTGATTATTCAGTGGGAGGAGGGTTCCTAACTCCCTTTGGTTCCTCTAAAAATCTCAAGTGTTGTAATCCATTGCAGGTTTAATCGTCTTCAAAATTTATTGTTTGTTTTATTTTGTTTAGGTATACACCATGGCAAGTATCAAATGGGGAAATCAAACAGCCATGACAGAGTTCATTCTACTGGGATTTGGTAATCTCAAGAAACTACAGACCATTCTCTTTCTGTTGTTTCTCATGATCTACATTGCAACCATAGCTGGGAATATCCTCATCATTGTGCTGGTTGTGGCTGATGTGCACCTTCACACCCCCATGTACTTCTTCTTGGAGAACTTATCCTGTTTGGAGATTTGCTACTCTTCCACCATCCTGCCCAGGATGCTGGCCAGTTTCTTGACTGGAGATAAGACCATATCTGTTAGCAGCTGCATCCTTCAACATTATTTATTTGCTTTCCTGGCAGGTGCTGAGTGCTGTCTCCTATCTGTGATGTCTTACGATAGATATGTGGCTATATGTAAGCCATTACATTATGTAACCCTTATGAACATCAGGTTCTGCATGCATCTAGCAGTTGGGTCCCGGATGTGTGGATTTCTAGTTAGTACCATCACAACATTATCAATGCTTCAATTATCTTTTTGTGGTCCCCAGGAAATTGACCATTTCCTTTGTGACTTGCCTCCAGTAATAAAACTCTCCTGCAGTGACATCCACCTGGTGAAACTTATAGCTTTCATATTTTCTTTTCTTTTCACAATTCCCCCATTTCTGTTAACAGCAGCATCCTACATCTCTATCATTACCACCATCCTGCGAATCCCATTGACCACTGGGAGGCAAAAGACATTTTCCACCTGTTCCTCGCACCTCATCGTGGTAACAGTGTTTTATGGAACTTTAATTTTTGTTTACATGTTACCAAAATCCAGTGCCTTGAGAGACCTCAGTAAAGTCTCCTCAGTTTTCTACACTGTCCTGACTCCAATGATCAACCCTCTCATATATGGCCTGAGAAATACAAATGTAAAGGACGCCCTGAGAAATTCTGTAGGTAAATGCATGTCTTATGCAAGAATCTAGAAAATCTAAATACAAGTTGTATTTTAACTCTGTGTGTGTGTGTGGGGGGGGGGGGGGGGGGTATGACCAGAGTTGTGATGTTGCGAGCATTCCCTTTCTAACACCTTGTAAAATTTAAGAAGCCAGAGAGCCAGAGTAAGGTGACTGTAGTGAAAAGTAGAGGGGAAAATGCTGTTTCCCCAGGGTGTTTGAGTTTATCATGTAAAACAGTAACTGCACCACCAAGGATGATGATGAAAATGATACTATGCTCAGAACCATTATTTTCCCATCCATGGTTGTGCAAGGTACCCAGTACTTTGCGTATGAGTGCTTTCCTGGGCAGCTGGAGGTACTGAGAAGCACAGTCAGGGAACCTGTTTTGTGTTAGCACGGGATTTACACTATAGTTGAACAGTTATGGATCAGTGGTTGACCCACTACAGAGACATATCAGATATTCTCTCTTTCCCCGGTCCTTGACTCTACAAAATCAAATTGTTTACCATATTGTCATGGGTAAAGGAATAAACACAGAAATAGCTCCAGTATGCTTTTTCTTGGGTATCCGACTTAGAGAAACTGCCTACACAGATAGTGAGTTTTCAGCTTTCTATGATAAATAGGTCCATTTTAATTGCCTATATTTGGACATCTCAGAAACTAAATAATGCAAAACACCAGTCATTCTTGGAATCAGATCAGGCTGTAAATCTAGGAGACTCACAGGTTCTCTTCATCCATCAGAAGTTTGTCTCTTGTAATAGTTGACATATTGTTCTCAGATTATCCACTCCACTACACATATTCTTAATTCAAAAACACTCCACAAGCCTCCTGTACCTCTAGGAGGTCTATAAAGGTTGAAGTCTGCAACTATCACCCCGTGGCTATGCCACCAGCAGCTTAGATATCGATATCTTCACTCTCAGCACCATTGTACTATTTAAGTCTTGACATCCCTGTTTTAATCTTCTTCTGACATTATTTTTTAAATGTGTTCATATATCAGTCATTCCTCAGGCTAATAGTGGTTTGCTTTCTCTTACAGTAGCCAGTAGGGATAAACAATGACTACAAACAACCCCAGGGAAGCTGAAATTTTGTTCATCATCTCATGAAACACAGAAGTTGAGCATGTGAACCAATTATCAGGCCCCAATGCTTTCTCTGGGATACATGCCCTAGGTCATGGACAAAAGTCACTGTGATGTGGGCTTGGAAATATTTCAAAAGGGGAGTGTTTTAGCTTCAGAATATTCATATAGCCCCTGTTACACCCACAGGTTAGAAGACATCAAAATTACTGTGGCTCTCCATCCTGGGCACACTACAGGTAGGACAGGACATCTCTGCCCAGATTGGAGAGTCATAAAAAAGAAGTCATCAGTTGTTTGAGGGGCAGGAAGTGAGGTGGCTCAGAGGTGGTAGTGGGTGGGAGGAGGATTCCTGCCACCACACATCCATCTCTCCAGCCCCATCCTCCAACCCTCTTCAAAACCTCTCTTCCTCTCCCTAGAAGTAATTGGAGCTGAAAAGCCCACCTTCAGCAGCAAATATGGGGGTAAGCAAGAGACTGGCAAAGGGCGTAGAGGTCCCAGGGAGTATCCAGCAGCAGCCCAAGCACAGGTGCACAACCTGGCTGTTGGAAAGTCTCCCCAGCTGTCAGCCTGTCAGAGCATCCATGAAGTTCTCTCTCCTTCCCTATGGATGGTGGTGGAGAATAGAGAACTGTGGGATTCTGGAGGACATATTCTGGGATCCCTTGTCCCTGTGCCCATGAAGTGAAATCTTCCAAAGTGGTACTTCATTTCAACAGGTATTTTTTGTCGGACCTCAGCCACATTTGAAGTGTTTCACAGTGCAGCTATATTTTTAAAGCTTGCTCTTTGAAGTGTTTCAATGGCATCTGAACTGTGTTAATTGTTTTTTCTACCCATATCTCTAGGAGGCAACAACATACACCTAGGACATAACCACCACAAAATGATACATTATAGTACCATCGACTCAGGCACTGAAAGCCTCCCACTGTTGATATCTTCTTTCCCATATTGCTCACAGGCACCTGCATTGGGCACTGCTCCAATCTTCCCATTTTAGAGCTCAGCATAACTGCAGAGATAGTGATAGCCAAACTAGTTTTTCTGCATTTGGGCTTGCTTTCAAATAGGCAATGCATCTGTTTACCCATAACACTCTCTTCCACCTACTTATTGCATACCTGAATTTAGGTGTCTAAGTGCAGTTATGTTAACACCCAGTACAAGTGAATGGAAGGAATGGATGGTGACCCCCGGAAGCTGGGAGCAGATGGATTCAGGAAGGCTAAATATATTTCATTGTACAAATATGCAAGTGAGAAAAATATTTTGAAGACTGAATCAAACCAGAAGTTAAGTCCTTTAAGAAAAGAAAAATAAGCAATTTATTTGATGGAAATAACAGTCTGTGCAAAGCAAATGAAAATAAAGACTTCAAAAGCCTGGTGGCTTCAGGGTCTTGAAAGTGAAGATGTCTTATATGGATTCAATGACTAACTACAAAAAACTGACCACTGTGATGATGATGACAGTAAAACCATGTAGATTACCATATACAATTGTGAAACCTGTTGAGTACTGTTAATATATATAAGAACACACAGAGTTGTACTGCCCTATTTTTTGTAATAAAAGCTGAACAACATGCACTCAAATTTATGTTAAGGGAAAAAAAATCCCTTTATTTAAAAAAATATATATATCCTTTTCTGCATGGGGTGTCTGGTGGACAGAGGTGTCATATATCACAGAATACAATATAATTTCCCAGCTCAGCTGAGTTAATAGTCTATGTCACATGCTTGTAAAGGAATTTAATATCTAGGGAGCCTGCTTGCTTTGTTCACTTTTATTTGCAAATTCCGAAACCTTATTGGATTGAAACTTGATCCATATTTTCTGCCAAACTGAGCAAGTCAATTAGATGCATGCTCACAAGCTGAGCAGCATGTTTAAGCATTTGAAGCTTGTAGCATTAAAACAATGTAGAATCTCCATTTCTGTCATGCTGTAAATTGAGTTACTTCCAACTAATAGCAAGTTCAGGCTTAAAAATCAGGTCACCCACTGAGTTTAAACCACTGCTACTACAATGTAGTACCCCCAACCCCCTCCTAAATTTATGTGACTGTACACAGCAGGAGGTCTCTAGTTATGGAATATATATCTCATGGGCCATATTCTTGTCAGAACTATGACAGAATAGTCCCAGTATATTTCTCACTAAAGGTCTGACTTAGACTGTAGTACTACTGGTTATCTTTTTTTGGGAAACTATTTAATCAATAAGAAAATAAGAGCTACCACACTAGGTCACAGCAAACTTCCAGCTTGTCTATCATCCTGTATCTCACAGAAGGACAGACAAGATGCAATGGAGAGGAGCATTTATTCAGCACATAACCAGATGGAGCTTCTGCCTGCACATGTTATCTTTCGCTTACAGTACTTAAAGCCAAGAAAGTCTGAAATTTGGAGTTCGCAGCTCTCTTACAGTGTTTAATACCTACTGACGAATCTATTCTGCATAAATTTGTCTAATACTCTTTTGAACCTGGTTGAATTGTTAGCCTCTGCATTGTCTTGTGGCAAAGAGCTCTGCAAGTTAATTGTACACTGTGGGGAAAAGAACTGCCATTGTTTAATTTCGAGCCTGACCCCTAAAAACTTCCTTGTGGCTCCATGTAAATAGTAAAACTCTATTTAATTTCTCCAGACCATTCCCCTTCATCCCATTTCCCTCTCTCCACACTCACACCCTCCCCACCCATTTTCTGCCCAGACATCAAACAGTGGGGCACCTTTGCTGAGAAGACATGGGGGATCAGCTAATAGTCACTTAGGATCACTTAGGTCCCATGATCCACAGGAGATCTAGGTTGATGGCTCCTTCACAGTCATCAGCACGTACCTGGTTCACTTTACAGAGTCCTGTGACTTGTCTCTTTTAGACCTATACCTTGAGACTGTGATGCATGCATACCTTGAGTACATCAGATTGCAGTCCCCCTTCTCCCTCCTCAAGAATCTCTCATTAAGGTTCAGTTTGCACTTTCCCCCATTACTTTTATTTTATGTAGCCCCACAGACTCCTGGGACTTTCTGGGCATTCTCCTTCTGGCTCTGGCTGAGCTCTTCATCTACCAGACCAGGGAGGAGGTGCTGGCCACAAGGAACCTAGCTGATTAAGGCTGTCTTTCTTTCCCTTATCTGTGCACATCTCCAAGCAGAGTTTCAATGGTCAGTAACCACTGGCTCTTTAGGTACATTCCAGGGGCAGTGGGTGCTAGCTGGAGTTTTCTGCTCAGTATCTTCTCTGGGACCTTACTTATTAATGTATAATCTGCACTCCCATTCCTGTTTTACTATTTGTTGTCTCACAAGCTTAACTGTTATGACATCCCTTAAGTCACTGATGGGGCTTCTAGGTCCTTCTGGGTATAGGCCCACCATCCTGGCTTAACAAGTAGCCATGCCTGCTGGTTTCTACCTTCTTAGTTTCCTCTGTCTGACCCTTTTGCTCCTGACTGCCACCCCCTATGACCACCCTGCCTTGCTCTTGACTCCAGACCAGACCCCCCTTTCTTCTTACAGCTGGTTCCTGTGGCTCTAGGATGGTGACTTACCATGTCAGGGTCCCTCAGAAATACAGCTGCCTGCACTGAACACTGGCCAGTGGCTTTGGTATGGATCCCTACTTTTTTGCTCCTATTCCCACGGTTCATGGCTCTACTGTGATGACTGAAAACATCTCAGTCCCTTACAGACTACAGCCTCCTGACCTGCCTTCTCCCATCCTGATGGACATAGACTCTCTAGAGTCAGACCCCAGTCACCCACTTCCTGGTCATCCCCTGACAAGCAGCCTGACATTTAGGCTGGGCTATGCAACAAATGAGAAACTGCTGTGTGGGTAGTGCTTGTAGTCACGTTGGCTAGACTGCAGGGCCACTAAGATCCTCCTGTCCAGGCTTGGAG